AATGATCAATACACTTCGTCATGCCAAAGATTCAATCCCAGATGCTTATCCTATCAGGGATTCATTCCTCTCAACTAGTGTTTTCTACAAACCTATAATTAGCCTAAAAGCAATAAAGCTTTTTTCTGTAGGGACAATATTTGCGGAATACAACTTCCTTCATATCTACTTCGGTGGAAACAGAGAAAGCTGTGGAGGAAAACAGAGTTTTAATGATGTAAATGTGTCACAAACAAATTAGAAATGAAAACACGTATGGTACATTTGTGAGAACTTATTTCTGCATAGCCAGGTCCATCGATGAATTTCCTAGCAAGAAAACATTTCTGATGGCTTCTGCCAATTCTACCCCAGCTCTTCCAAGTACAAAACACTGTGTTTACCAATTCTTCCAAGAATTAATTTACTGTGTTTGCCAATATGTACAAGCTATATGATATTGGGTCTGGCAGGAATTCATAACATCTTCTTGCCAGGATGAGCTATTGTAGATTTACACATCTTCAGATAGACAGGAGTTTGAGCATTCCAATGATTAAAAAAAAAAAATGCATTTTAAAGATCACTCATCATACAACTAGCACTGACTTTTCAGGAGTGAATGATGACACTGACATAAGATTTGTTTTATCTGTTTGCAATGAGTTGTTAGGTGAGGAAACGATAGCTGAGCTTACTCCAGAACTGCAACTGATGAAAACAGTCTGGCCTCGCCACTCTGCCCCCCACACCTTAGATATTTATAGACCTGGATGAGGTCCCCTCTCAGTCTTCTTTTCTCAAGGCTGAACAGACCCAGTTCACTCAGCCTTTCTTCATAGGAGAGATGCTCCAGGCCCCTCACCATCTTCGTGGCCCTCCGCTGGACTCTTTCCAAGAGATCCCTGTCTTTTTTGTACTGGGGAGCCCAGAACTGGACACAGTGCTCCAGATGAGGCCTTACCAGGGCAGAGTAGAGGGGGAGGATCACCTCCCTCGACCTGCTGGCCACGCTCTTTTTAATGCACCCCAGGATGCCATTGGCCTTTTTGGCCACAAGGGCACACTGCTGGCTCATGGCCAACCTGTCATCCACCAGGACACCCAGGTCCCTTTCCGCAGAGCTCCCCTCCAGCAGCTCATCCCCCAACCTGTACCAGTGCATGCAATTATTCCTCCCCAGATGCAAGACTCTACACTTGCTTTTGTTAAACCTCATCCATTTTTTTTTCTGCCCAGCTCTCCAGCCTATCCAGGTCTTGCTGAATGGCAGCACAGCCTTCAGGCGTGTCAGCCAATCCTCCCAACTTCGTATCATCAGCAAACTTGCTGAGGGTGGCCACTATCCCCTCATCAAAGTCACTGATGTTGAACAAGACTGGACCCAGCACCGACCCCTGAGGAACACCGCTAGTTATAATTCTCCAACCAGACTCTGCATCGCCAACGACGACCCTCTGCGCTCCGCCAGTCAGCCAGTTCTCAACCCACCTCACTGCCCACTCATCTATTCCACACTTCCTCAGCTTTGTTATAAGGATGTTGTGGGAGACAGTATCAAACACCTTGCTGAAATCAAGGTAGACTACATCCACTGCTCTCCCGCCATCCACCCAGCCAGAGACATCATAGAAGGCTACCAGGTTGGTCAAGCATGACCTTCCCCTGGTGAACCCATGATGACTACTCCTAATAACCTCTTTTTTTTCCAGTTGTCTGGAGATTGCATCCAGCACCAGCTGTTCCATCAACTTTGCAGGGACAGAGGTGAGGCTGACTGGCCTGTAATTACCTGGATCTTCCTTCTTGCCCTTTCTGAAGACTGGATTGACATTGGCTATCCTCCAGGGTATTTGCAAATATATATATTTCTACACACATATATATATCTACATCAATTTACATAATCTCAGATTTCAAAGCTTTTCACAGAAATAAATCAAGAATACTGAAAGTAATAAATAGTCAAACTGCCCATATAGAAAAAACAAAAATAAAACTTAAAGAAATTGCTGAGATATATCAATATTCTAAGATACGAATCACATATACAATGTTCTTATGTACATTAATGGAGACAGAAATACTTCCAGTTTCCATACACTTCTGAATGATTCTTTTCACAAAATAAGATCAATACAAACATGTCTACATTTGTTATTGTTATAAGCTCCTCTGTTCTACTATTTTATTTTATTCTGAAGTGATGTTCTTCTCACATTCAATCATCAGAATTCACATTTGACTGCTGTCTCACCCTTCATCATTATCACTTCATTCATGACTGTTACTATGTGCCTGTTTTCTCAACTATTCTCACACCTTTCATGCATGAAGTTAATGGATTTTACCCTCATTTTGCAATCCATTAGTTCATCACCTACTGGGTACTATTTCAATCGTAGCCAGTGGCTAGAGAAGAACACCTGGGTATGTGACTATGAATATCTCTTTAGCTTTAAAATTTAGGAATTTTTTTCAGTTTTAAGTAATATTTCAGTTAGTAACAACCTCAAGCAACTGCACAGTACAGCTTTCGCCCCACCAAACAACCTCTTCTAGGAAAGGGCACTATAGGTTTTCTTTTTTGTGTGTTTTGTGTTTTAAATTCCAAAGATGTGCCAAACATGAGAAAAACTTTGTGAAAGATTCTGAGAAGGAATTTTAGAGAAGAATGCATTCCATGCACAGTCTAATGGATTCATGGCAAATTCACTGTTCAAAATGGAACCTGCTGTTTTTCTAGTACCGACTGAGCAAATACCAACATTCACCAAGGACTCTAAAACTCAGAGCACCCACACCATGAAGCCTGGCTGCCCTTTTGGAAACAGTACAATAGTACTGCAGTCAAATCAAACTCTGGCTGAAGACTAAATATTTACACTCAGCTTTATAACCCTTTTTTACTCTTGTCTGAATTTTGAACTCAATCAGTCGAGCTGCCCAAGGTAAGCAATCATTCAGGTGCTTCCCTACTGAAAAACCACCACTTGGCTGCAAACACGAACGTTCAACCTCATACTGCAGTTTGAAGCAGTACAAATCTGCATTGCTTCTAAGAAGAAAAAAAATACATAGGTTTTAAAATAGAAGACCTGCAAATTCATACTGCATCTCCTAAAAATTAATTTGCCTGGAAAAATCTTCTGGCATGTATTTCCAATAAAATCATTTTACAACATGAGTATAAAATACCTGCTGGCGTGCTATAGCACCAATTTGATTCCTAACATATCAGTCCTGAGTAAGTGAGGTAAGTTCATGCCTGACACCTTCTTGCAGAAACGCACACTAATTTGACTTTCTCCAAAATTATCATCATCACTGCTTTCAGAGGCACTGTTCTGAAAGAATAAATTTGCATGACACAGACCGGTTCCCTGTGCCTACAGCTGAATGATTACTTCATGCTTTTGTCTAGGCCACCAACACTACAGCTAACACAGGCCCCCACAGCAGTAAACTCAAGGAGCTCTTCAAAGGCCTAGCAATGCAGAGGCTATGCTTTCAATGCTCGAATTTTCAGAAATGAGGTGGCTGCTTTAAAGAGGTCTGCACAAACATTTACTTTATCGCCAGCCTCAGCAACATGGACATATCTTCATTAGCCAAGCTCTCCTAACAAGAGTGCAGGATCAAATCATTTATCGTGAGTCAAATGTGTTGGTGAAGTTTTCTATAGGACTCTAAAGATTTGTATTTGTGACTTTTTCTTCCCTAGTACTGGAGAGATAATGTGTATATGCATAGAGGCTACCTCTGGCAGCTAGCTAATTATTCTCCCATGAATTACAGGTACTTCAGACAACACCAGCCCTATGAAAGCTACTTATCTGTAGTAAAAGTTAGAAGACTATATGAACTATGTAGCACAGCTACTCTAATTTTTGCATTAATTTACACATCACAGAGGAGACAATTTTTTCCATCTCCAAAAGCATATTCGTGATTTTCTTGTCAAAAAATGAAAATTATTTTAATACCTAGAAGACTAGGGAAAGCTTTTGCTGAGTGAGGGGTGGAAGGTTGTTTTATTTCTCTTCATAGTGAGTACGGAATTTTTTATCTGAGAAATTGTGGGCACACGATTTAACCGCTTCCTTGAAGAGCAGGAAGGGGACTGCTCACAGAGACCTTTTCTTCTCCTCTGAGGGCAGAGGCCCCTCTACTTCTGATAAGTACTCCAGTTCCTAAAAACGCTCTTCTTTCCCCACCACGCTTGCCTAAATCTGTGATGGAGCTAAAGGCAAGAGATAAGCCACCAGTATGTATGAAGTGCATTAAATTCAGCATGCAGGTTACCAGGAGAAGCAGTCCATCTGGGAACGCTGCAGTAAGTGCAGCACATTTTCTTCCACTTTAGTCTCAATTGTCATCCTTTATCTGCATCCAAGGAGTAGCTTTTCCTAACCTTGGCTGCAGCATCATAAGCTCTCAAATATTTCTCCCAGACTTCCATCCATATCAAGCAAAAGGCAAAAAAAAAAAAAACCTTCCCACACACAACCCCCCAAAAAAAAAAAAAAAAAAACCATAAACAAAAAAAACACCCCAACAAAATACTAAGCCATCTGATAATTATCTGTAATGTTTAAATAGACTTTAAAAATTACAAATTTTGTTAAGAGTATGGTAGCATTTGAATTCACTGTAGACATATGCAGAGACAACCACAAAATCAAGCTGATTTTGTACCAAAATCCACACACCATGTAAACGTAGTAAATCTTTATCCACTCAAAGTTACTGAGAAGAACAGCCACTGCTATGGAAAAATTTTTCAATCATGTGATGTTCTCCAGAATGTCACTAAATTTATACTAGTGGAATAATACTTCTAAAAGTGATTTCCCATATTTATGATATAATAACACAGTAAAAAAAATAAATAGAAAAAGCAGTTTATTGCTACATGCCTCTGTAAACAAAATGGCTGCTTGCCTGCTAACATCCTAGTATTTCACAGTGAGTAATCAAAAAGTAATTTTTGTAACTAGAAGACAAAATAAACAATTTACCTTGTGTGGATTGGTCAATATTTTTTCTTTTTCTGCTTTGACTGTTGTAGTTCAGTCTTAGCTCTTGGCTGTATTCATTCAGAGTTTCTCTTGAGTCATAAGACTGCCTTTGCTTTCTGCCATCTTCACTCTCATCTGAAGAACTTGTGTAAGTTAGATCCACTTCATGTTTAACTTTTGACAGTGGCTGGTAGGGTTTGCAATCCATCTGCTCCATCTCTGGCTGAATAGGCTCAAAATCATGAAAACAAGCAACTGGAATTCCTTAAAGAAGGACTCCTGAGAAATAAAAAAAACACAAACAAGAATCGCATTCAGATATCATATTAACGCTCAAAAGGCCGGTGTTATTTTCAGTCAATATAAACCAATTAAATTGAATTTGAATCACTATGATTCAGGAGAAAATATGAGCATGTCCTATTTTGCTGTTTTGCTTTAAAAAATGGTGTTCAAATAACAGTAACTTTAAGTACTAACCCACCATGCCAAGCAATAATCATGCTGTATGCACAGAATCTGTTACCTGTTTTGTGTTAAAGGTTCTTGAAACTGTTACTCTTTCTCTAAAGAAATATTAATGTGCATTTATTCTAAGTGAAAATAAAATCTTAATTTATTTTAAAATACGAAGCCTAGAAACCAGAAAGTTCACTGTTTTGAAGTATTTTCTTGTAAATAGAATTACATTTAATTAAGAATAACAGACTTCTCACTTTAGAAAACAGTCAGACTTAGAAAAACAAGAATATCCTTGTGTTACTCTACAAGAGCAAATAGTGGCTCCAAAAGAGGACATTTTCCTTTCAGGCTGTGTGGGCATCTCAAGAGGAAGCTTCCACCATGCAGCACAACCCCTTTTTATCCTTCTCATCACCTGTCTAAACACTTACTGACACGGGGGCCATGCTGATCCTCAACAAAACCTTCTGAACTGCAACTTGCAGTTTGGGATGTCATTAAAACGATGCTCAAATACATTATCATTAAAATCAAGTGGGCTGCAGTTGCATGCGTACTTGCAAGGTGTATTCACTGTACAATCCTGCTTTCATGAAGCTGTTTCTATCATGCATTTTAATGCAAACTCTGTGATGAAATAACAGGAATGGATGACACACCTTCTACAGCAGCAGCACGTTTCTCAGACAGTAAGCTCTGAGAAAGTAAGCTTGCAATTTCACTTAGACTAACAGATGGCTATTATCTTCCACAATGAAATGCAACAAAAAGAAGGCTGTAAATATCACTACCAGATCACCAATACCAAACAAGTTAAGCAAGATTTTACTTAATGAAAAAGTAATCTATCACATCTTCATGCTGATCCTAAAGTCAGCAATGGAGAGAAGGAAGTTAATGCCTAGTCTGTCATCAGCCTAACTTCCCATCTGCAACACGGACTTGTAATCCCACACGTCCTCAGCAACCACAGAAAGTGAAAAGACACAAAAGACAAGCACAAACGTTAGAGAAAGCACTTCTTGTCACAGGACTACAGAGTTGAATTTAACTTCTGCAGTTGTCTGAAGGCTTGAAAAACAGCAGTGCTACCACTGCGTTTAAGCACAGCAAAAGCACATCTCCCGTGTACCCCCAATACTTTTGAAGGACTCAGCATCCTGAGCAGGAGTGGCAAAATCCTGACAGGAAAGCAGAAACCAGGCCAACCCAACTGCACAGACAGAGAGGTGAAAGACTCATCTCTGCTCAAAACAAAATCTCCAGGAGTTTTATCCAACTATTTAACCAGAGATGGAACAGCTCTTCAGAAACAAATAGAGAAGGACCTGAATAAAGAGCTCTAGTGTACTAAAAAGAAAAAAAGAAGCTCAAATCTCTTACACAACAAAGCGGACTTGAAAGCACACGAGCTAATAACAACTCTTCAACAGGGAAAAGGAAAACAAAAAGCTGAGCCAAACAAGCTTCCTGCCTGACAGAGACGCATGCACTGGGGGCACAAAGCTCCATGCTCTGGGTATGATCACATCATATCAGGTTAGCGCTAAGATGGTTTTGTAGACAAGCTACTAATACTGCTATCTACCTTTCAAAGGCTATTTGCCTAAACAATTTACTACTATTTACCAACATTTCCTAAATGAATACTCATTCTATGAGTTGCTTTAATACTCTGTGATAGAAGAACTCAAAGCGCCATGACTCAGAAGCATGAGGGTGGCTTAAAAGATTACTTGATGGCTCTGTAGAGATGGTCAGTGGTGGGGAAAAGCCACCCCACATATCCTATCTGATAGAGCAAATGGAAATGGTGCTACAGAAATGAGGGAAAAATGGGGAGATACTAAGGGCCTCTGCTGACAAAGTGCAGGAGATGACAGAAATTGTGCCGTGAAGACAGCCAGTCTGAGGTTTCTCACACACACACAGTGCATCCCTCTTTCAGAAGCACAAAACATCCAACCTGACATACTTAGCCCCTTAGTACAGTTATAAATAATAACAGAAAGAAAAACCCACGCATTTTTGGGCACACCTTTTGCTCTCAAGGTAGAATCACAGAACTCCTGGGGTTGGAAGGGACCTCCAGAGCTCATCCAATCCAACCCCCCCAAAGCAGGTTGCACAGGAAAACATCCAGGTGGGTTTTGAACTCCTCCAGAGATGGAGACTCCACAGCCTCTCTATGCAGCTTGTTTGAATGCTCTGAACGATTTAGGAACAATTAAAACTCACAACCTACTTACAAGTATCCCAACCACATTCCCCATCCTCTGGGACCCCCTGACATCTCCTGCAGGGTCACACCTCCACCTGCAGGGTGCTGAGGGCTGGCCCACATGTGCAGGCTGCAGTGCAGCCTTTCACAGTGCAAGTGTTGCAACTGGGGGCCAGGTCTAATCCTGGCTGACTGCAAGGTGCCAGGGGCTGTGCTTGGTTTTCTTTCATTTTCACCTGGTGCGTGAATGTGCCATAAGACCGTGCCTATGTGAAAGCAGGTGATAAATCATTTGCAAGATAAGGACAAAAAGAAAACCATCATGAACTTTTTCAACACAAAATCATTTCATATGAATCAGGAACACACAAAGTTGAGACCACTTCTTCAGACTTTTTCACATCAAAAGTTACTTAAATTCACTTAAATTTAGAAAATGATGGTGTGTTATGATAACTTGAATTTAAACACCAGCAATCTAACACTTGACTTTCTTTTATATTTTGTTAGGAAAAGGGCAACGTACTAAACAACAACCAAACTGCTGGAGTAAGTCTGGAGTTTAAAGAATATTGCCTGGATGTTGACACAGGTTTCTGCTCAAATAACTGGCCTTCAAGTAACTAAACAAAACACCCAACTGATCAATACCCAGCTGACCTTGTCAGCAAAATAATTAAGTCTCATAAAAGCTTACAGTTGCTCCAAGCGACCTTTGTACGAGTGTCTTAATGCCTTCCTTCTCATTGAGCACTTTTCCATCTTCTCATTAGCATTCTGTCATTAAAAGTTTTGATTGATATTTAACAACATAAACTTTATAAAATATATCAACCTGTTACACCTAATATGTAAATTATATAAATATTTTCATGTAGGCACTGAAACGCAAGTACTACTCAAACAAACTCTGAAGTAGGTATCACACAAAGTTTCCAGTGTTATTTAGAGATGTGAGGATATGGATAACGGAGCTGAAGAAGGTCTTCCATAAGCATATAAGAGCAAGGACATGAAGCACTGGGACCTTTTTTGGCCTTAGCTGATCATTACATCCAATCCTCAGAATGGACTCATAAACTAAGTACTTTGAAAAATTTGGGGTCCTGACACCCAAACTACATAGAATTAAAACGTAACTGCAGTTACAATGCTAAAATATAAGCAAGCAATATTCATTGTTTGCAACATGAATTCAAAGGACAGCCTTCAGTAATTCCCTTTTTCAGTCTGAGTGAGTTTTTCTATCAATTACGACCACCAAATGCACATTTGCTCAATTCCCTCATACGTTACTTTGCCTTCAATATACACCCTTATTTGAAAGTTAGCATTTGCTTATTACATCTTCAGACAACTGATTTCTGAAAACGAATGACTAAGCAGAAACTGCATCTCTGAGTAGCTGAAGGCAAAATGATGGCATTGTTATTATGAAAATCTATTCTGAAATACAGAACTGCAAAAAAACAAATGGGAAACCAAAACCAAACACAGGACTTAAATCTTTGAAAAATGCAATATGAGGAGGAAAAAAAAAGAAAAAACAAAGGGAAACAATCTTGTGACATTGTGCTGACCATCAAAACCATACCCCTCAAATATTTGTTTAAGCATCAAAAGCAAAGAAAGTCCTTTCATCCTTTTAAGTTCTACATTTTACAAAACAGTTAAACACACTAAGAAAGCTAGCAGTTGAACAGCCATATACTAGGAACAAGCTAGATCCTATACAGCACATAAAATCACAGTATGAACATATATGGAAAGTCTGTTTAGTTTTGCAGGATGGAAGTAGCTAAAACTTTCCTCTGGAAGGAAAAAAAAAGTCATACAACAACCAAGAAAGAATAACTGAAGTTACCCCTGATGAAAGACTGCAAAGAATTTGAAAAACAAATAAACAAATCCAAAAGTAACCTAAATTTACGTGAACATTTTTAGTGGATTACAGAATTGGAGCACATCAGAAGATGTTGGAAGATGGCATAACAACGTGTGAATCACTGAATACCTTGGGGCCAATATGTCTCTGTGTACAAGATTCTGAAATTGACACATTGCACAATTCCTGCCTTAGAGTGGACTACATAGTAAATCAGACATGCATATGCAAAATGCAGCTGTCAGGAACACACCACGGGTTTAACACACTCCCTAGAGGATGCATGGTTATAACCTGTAGGTGAATTATATTTCTCCATACATTTATATGCTGTGATAGACAGAGGAGGGTTGTTTCATTTCCACACTTAATAGCCTTCAATTAAAATTACTCAAAGTATAATTTAATTTTAGTTAGCAAAATAATTCAGAATGTTTTCCCTTTTATCCACAGTTTCAGAGAGAAACCACTATAGAATAAAACCATAAATAAAGTCAGTCAGGTTGCTGTAGACTGACAAGACTGCAAGACTGACATGAACAGAAAAACATACATTATATAATCTGCTCAACTGTGATACCCAATTCTTGGCCAACATGTGCCCTGCACTTGGAGAATTGCTACTGACTGCAAAATCACACACATCCCTAATGCTTTCTTTTGGATGCCAGTCATCTAATACTTGTGAGCACAGGAGTTCAAGCACGAAAGATCAGTCTCTAATGCTGGTGAATGATGCACATCCATGATTCAGGGAAACACATCGTGGACAGGCTCAGAATATTCACTGGAGCACAGATCTTTCTGGAAAACTGTTCTTTAGGTAATACAATTGCAGATTATGTTACAGGATAACTAGCGTACACTTTTAATTTCAGATCAAGAAAACATTTTGAAAAATACTTCAAGCATCTCAAAGCTTCTTTTGGAGTGCTGCAAACGTGAAGGAACTCTATGCTTAAGTAAAACTAATCAAGTGCTTTACACCTACTGATCCAGTACAGAACACAGGACCACCACCTCATTCCTAACTATAAAGCAGGGATGATGCAGGGAAGTGTGGCCTGTGTAAGGGTGCGTAGGCTGAGCTTATTCCTACACAGAGCCCTCAGAAGTCATTTATGACTCCAGGGAGGATGTATGATCAAAGTTTTGTTTTCTAAATTTTAAAATTAGAATGGGATTGAAGAAAGGGTCATAATTCCCCTACAAACTCAACTATGCTTGGGACCACTAAGCTTCCTGCCATTGCACAGAATGTTTCCAACATGCACTAGACACTTGTTTGTACTAAACATATCTGAATGTAGCATTAAAAATTCTTTTCAGTGGAAGTTCGTGTTGCTCTCCCTTGCAATAACGGAGACAAAAACAAAGTTTTGCATTAAAGAAAAATTAGAATTATGAGCTTTCTATTAATAGCTTTTTTTTTTTTTAGTGTAAACATAGTTTAATCTTGGAACTCTTCTAAGCAAAAGATGTTTAAAAATCATTTATCTTTATGTATACAAAGGCTGCTCTGAAAACAATGCCTCCTATTTTATTACACTGGCTCATGGTGTCAAAGGTGGATGTTGGTAGTATGGCAGCACAGGCTGACACTTCATGCCAAAATTCCATCACATTTTGTTTCCACGTGACAAATAGCAGCAGAGGCCAGTCTGACAGAAAGGCATCAAACACGCGAGTGTGTACGAAGCAAAGGGGTGGAACTGATTTCCTCCATGCAGAAGAAACGGCACCCACTGACATTTACCTGTGCCTACTGACCATTTGTGGAGACCAACCAGCAGATGCGAATGCAGTGAGATGGTGGGTGGTGCATTTCTGCAGTGGCGACAGTGCCAGTGGGGCACCTTCACTGGTGCAAATTTTTACAAGAGCAGCATGCAGGCTTTTGTTCATCGCTGGCAAAACCTGCCATAATGGTAGCGACTATGTTGAAAAGCAGTCTTGTAGCTGAGAATTTGTTCTATCAAGTAGCATTATTGTGCTCTTTCTATCTGTTGTAGTTTCCATGGAAATAAGAGGAGGCATTACTTTCAGAGCGATTTATGTATTTATCATGCAAGTGCCATCACCTAACAATAGAATATGATAAAGTGAGGTGTACACGTACTTATGTATATGCCTGTAGAAACAAGGGGATCTTCACCTGGTAAGCAAGCATTGCCCTCTGTAACACAGTGTGATTTGAAATACACTGACATGGTGGAAGCATTATATTAGAAAACTGAATTGTGTTTTTGCTATTTGTTGATAATGCAGATTGTATGGTCATTAAATTGAGATAATTACTTTTACGTCCCTTTTCCAACTGTGTGCCTAATTAAGACGACCCAGTAATCCCTAATTAGCAACAACATAATTTTTAAAACCCAATTTAGTAGCTAAGAGATTGCAAAAAATGGAAATAACATGTTCAATTCAGACATTAATTTCTTGAGATACCAATTTAAAATTTTTAATATAATAAGGTTAGCACGTGAGAACAATTTACAACACATCAATGCCATGGAACATCTAAGAAAGCAAAGTATTAGATTGTTTGATACTAGGATGCATTGGCAATGGCATCTGAAACATTCTGTTTCCATTTCCATTTTTCCTGGTTTTAATTAGAATAAAGAAAAAATACTTCACTGAAAAAAAAATGTGAGGTTTTCACCAGAGCACTTATGGACATATCAAAGCACAAGAATAAGTATCATCCTTGATAAAACCAAAGCTTTGATCAGTTGACATCACAGTGAACAAAGGCACAAGAAGGGAAGTTATTTCTTTCTGGCACTGTACTTGTGCTTTCATTCTTCTCTCTGTGAAAGACCCCATAAGACATGATAGAACATCCCAGGGGGCCTCAGCAATTTTCTTTTCCACCTGCAAAACCAAAAAAACCCTACCAAACAAGCATCTCTGAAACAAAACACTACAGCCTCCCACCCAATATTGCCAATCTTAAATATTACCATAATCTCTCATTTTGTCTACTGCTCGGCTTTGTTGTGGCTTGTTCATTTTTTCAATTAAAGTTTTGCAGAAAGGAATAACCGATTATTTTCATTATTTTTGCTATATTACAACTTCAAGGATTTCTGAAGCAGCACCGATTTCTGTGTCAGGTTAGTTTCCAGTACAGCCTAAAATGTCTGAGCACTTAGACCAGGCATATAATCTACACTTTGATGTCTGCCAAGTTTACAGATATCTGAATTAACTTGCACAGCAGCTTTGTAAGAACTTCTACTTGCAAAGCCAGCTGAACTGACTAGACATCGAAAACAAACTTTTCATTCTTCTCCTACATACTTGGTTTTCTTAACTTTCGCTCTTCTAATTCTAGAAAGAAATGCCATCAATTATTATACAGGTTTGACATCACATAAGTTACAACTTAAAAAGCTTTTCAGGCATTTGATGTACCTTTTTTTCTTTTTTTTTTTGCAAGAAGACCTGCGTACTGCCTTGACCACACGACCAACATCTGCATCGCCTCCATTTGAAGTATCACTCAGGTTGCTGTTCGCATGCCTGACACCATCACGCCTGAGAACTCATCTTACTGTTCCTTTTCTTCTTGCTTTGATGTCTGCCAAAGTATTCGGTGTCTTCAAGTGCCATTGTTCTGACAAGCAGACCCTCCCGATGGACTTGTACTGTACTGTACGGTTCCCAGAAGTGCTATTATTTGAGCTGGTGTCAGATTGATTTTCCTTCTCTTCATGATAATGCTATGATCTTGTGGGATTGAAATTACTGCTGATTTATGCCTTGATGCAACCCCTCGAGAACTGCCTTGTATCAGCATGTCACCTATGAAAAGCTACATTTAAATCCTTGGAGATCTTTCTAGTGGAACCTTTGTTCTCATTTCAATAGAGAATCTTTTGTAATGGATGTTTGCTAGAAACTTCTCCTGCAAGTGCCAGAAGTCTTCTGTAGTGCAAACTGGAAGTACATTATGCACCTCTTCATTTTTACCACTCACAGCTGTGGGAGACTTCTTGGCAGAGATGAATTTAAGATAAGTTCTCCATCCACAACCGCACACTTTTTGCAAAATGATTATACCGTGTTCTTCACAAAGGGAAGTGCTGGCACTGGAGGGTAGGAACATTCCTGAGCTTTATTTCTAAAGGTTCACCTACACAAGGAAATGCATCCAGCTAAAACCATACAGCTACACCTCCAGAGTTCCCGTGGAACTAAATCCCTTTATGCATGACATTCTTCTAGTTGGATTTCGGAAAATAATTTCCTCTGATGTTGTCTGAACATTATTCACATCTTTAAATATTCTGCTTTTCAGTGTCATGGACATTTTTTGCTTTCTCATTACAAGTACCAACTTAGCAACATTTTTGTAAGCATTTTTTTTCCATAAAATATAGTATCTCTGGAGGAACTATTGATTAACAAGTAGAAAACGATTTTACTTTTAAATAACTGACCCTCCAAGTTACAACTGAAATCCTCTCACCTGTTTGTAAAAGCAGTTTCTGAAATCCTAAAATAATCTCAAAAGAATAATTTTCTTTCTGTTGATAGAGCTAATTTAGCTAAACTAATTATTTCCTTTTTGTGTTCATCTTTGCTTCCACAATGGGAAAGAGAAGACAGACATGGGGATGCAGCCATGTTTGTTATGACTTTATGAATGACATGGCCATCTACTTCCATACTAATATATAATTCCAAATCAGAGAAAACACATTAGGTAGATAAAAATACCATACAAATTCAGACAGTTCAGTGTTGAAAATGAATTTGTTGAACTATCTATGAACTAAGCACAGACAATTTTTAATAAAGTCCTTAGCCTCAACTAACTAGTCATCTCCATTCAGAAATAATGCTTTTAGACAGGTGGCTGTTGTATATTTACTAAAGCATTGTTACATAAAGCACCTTGTCACCTCTTGACACATCTAGACAGGCCAAACCTATTTCGTTGAGAAGTTACTGACCAATTCCTGTTTGTACATGTCTTTTTTCAGCATAGGTGCTACTGATACAGATAGATACTGCCCTCCCTCTGAAAAAAATCTGTGACAATACCAAAAATACTATAAGTGGGACTGAGGGTGACAAAATTTTTGTATTCCGCAATAAATAATGTTAGGTCAAAAGCAGACGGCATTTGTTCCAACTGTTTCTTCCTTTAAACAAGAATCTAAACAGAAGTGTGTAAGAAGCCACATGGCCCCACTTTCTGGCCTTGGTGCAAGAGGAAGGTGAGCCTCCAGGAAGCCACCAGAAGGTCCCGTGTGCCCAGCGACCTCCAACAGGGACAAGGATGACAACAACCCCACCGCGTCTCCCTCAGCTGGAAACAGTGAATTTATGCCACTCCTCACTGATCGGAATAAGTTATCAAAACCATACATCATGTACCTAATTACATTAGCATCTCCTGTGATCACTCTGCCACATCACTTCAAAATCACATTCTCCTTAGCACTTCAGCAATAACTCCTTTTAGCTCAGCTTGCTTTCTTCAGCTGTAAAAATTACAGGAAGAAGAAAGAGAAGGATGAAATTGAAATACATGGCTTTTGTCTGTTGCCTTTACACATATCTATGTACACGCACATACACACATATGTCTCTGTAAAAGTTGCCTTTAAAAGAAAAACACAGAGCCATTATCTTTGCCTCACTATTAGGATCCGCTGTTGTCACAGTGAATCATTTTTCCTCAGGGATGTTGTGTGGATAACAATTCAGCTCATGTTAATTCTATTTACATTGGGAAAAAGTGGGAGGACTGTAATGGCTGTTTAACTGAAGCTCTCTTCTTTCATGAGCAAGTAAAATGTCACTTCCCTTTCCCAAAGCACCAAGAGGCTCCTTTTACTGTCACAGAACACAATTATATGTTAGGGCTCTGCTGTCTTTTTCCAGCCAACAAGGCAAGAAAATGACCTTTCTTTAACCTATGGCTGAATTGCATTATATTCAGTTCAGTGAACAGCCTTTTTTGTATTCTCCTGTATCAAGTGCCTTACTGAGGTTAGGAGATGGGCACCTGCCTTTCACATCTGCCAGTGATCTCACACTTTCCAAAAAACCCTTCCTTTCAGTGGAGAAGGGCTGTTAACTCTCATCGCACATTTCAATCCCTGCTTCGTAACATTTGTAAATACCTGACACCATTCAGCTCTGCAAGGAGCCTCTGCCAGCAGCATTGGTTACTAGCTGCTTGTTCTGCTTTGTCTTATTTGCAGCTCGGCAGTGAAGGGAAAGAGACATTTCCCACTGCACAGGGATCAGCCGCTCTGGGTTACATGCTGGAGACACTTGGGGAAGCAGAAAAAAAGTGGCTGTGACATTAATGAAGCAAACCACAGCTGATCTGCACAATACAGCAAGTCAGCAGTGACGGATTTGCAAACATGATGCTGAACGACAAATACTGCTGAAGAAAATGGCCGTGTTCAGTTGTCACAGAGCACGGGGCTTTAAAATTAAAGTCAGCAGATAGAAGAACATGAGGGAAAACATCAGGTATACACAGAGCTCATCTCCCAAGTATAAGCACCCTCAAAAGACACCCAGCATCGGTTCTTCTGCAGAGAATTCTCACCCTTGTGCATTGCAAATATTCACGTTAATGCTTCTAGGTGAGCAGGAGCTCCAAGATTCAGCAGTTCGGCATGCAGCAAGTTTTCTGACAACTGTTATTAGAGATGACTCAGACTAATCACTCCTCTGCCTAAGAAGGAAAGGTGTGTAGCTTGAGGACAGCTTCTTAAACACTGCCATTTCTCTGACAGGTTGCTTGTTATGTTAATGCTGCAGGCACCTTAGCACTGAGTTAAGATGAGACTGAGGATGCCAAAGTAGACAGAGCAGCTGCATGGGCTACATCAGGCTCAGGGAGAGCTCCAGTCCCTTGCTGAACCCTGAGCTATTGCTCTAACACTGCGCTGAGACCAAATGGGAAGGAGAAAATGTTCAGAATGAAACACCACACATTTCTCGTGCTACAGTAAAAGGAAGCTCTCTATATAGTTGACCTTTACATACATCTGGAAGCACTTCATTCCCAAGTGAATGCTGCTTTGTGAAACATCTGGGGCTACACATTACGGCAAAGCCAGAATCTAGCATGTATGGACACCACTGTGCAGAAGAGACATCAACACAAGGTGTACCTGTATACGTGATACAGATCCTATATCACTTTGAAAGGACAAAAGTTTGTTTTTTAGTAAAAACACAGTAAAAAATTGTCTAAACATTTGCTTACAGATGTTGAATTCTGCAGCAGTAACACATCAAACTGTCAAGATGTTTGTTTTTTTTTTTTAATTGATACTGGCTTTGGAGTTTGATGTGAGCTGAAGTTAAAAACCTCCACGATGAATAATGGAATAAAAAACACCCTAATAAATATATGCGTTAATCCTTCTTAGGAAGACTTACAGGCACCTACAGTAGGCTATATAACTGTGATTATGGAATGAACATGCATTGTCTGTAATAAAGAAGGAAACAAGCAAAAAACCACCAACCCCCTAAAACCAAACCCCAGACCCCACCACTGTAGATGCAGAACACAATCTTTTTTTCTAGGAGCACATCTGAACATACTCCTAGAGCATGAGTTTTAACTCCATGTTCACTTAGTAAATGTCAGGCTCTCAAGTAGGGTTCCTTGTTTATGATTTTTTACATACACAAATATATATACATATATTTTGCTTCAAAAACAGTGCAAGCAAAGTTATGTTAATTTATGCAAATTTTTACCTCCCAGGAAAAAAAAAAAATACGCAGAATTTCCTCCCACAAATAGAACCTTCTTCTCTTTTAATAGAGCTGCAAGTAACACAAAGCTGCAGGCTTAACAATAAACATGAAATTTGTTACTAAAGGAATTAAAGGAGCATACATTAAAGGAGCCATTTCTCATGTGAGCTTCAACAGTTCCTAACTCTGTTATTAACCGACTTCCAGCTAAGCTTTGATGAGGTCTGGAGACCTAACCACGGTTAAAATACAGACAAAACAAATCCTTATTCCTAGCTGTACATTCAGCTCTTACAGCAGATACAACTTTGAACTACACATGGTACAGATGCCACCACAAACGGGAAGAAAAGAAGGAGCTCCAGTTCTGCACTGCTCCCAGGGCAAGCACTGCAGCTGCAGCACTCTGAGGAGGCAGCACTTCCCTTTCCAATGGCTTCAGCCCATTTATATACTTAGGGAAGGAAGCATTCCTTAAGTGATCATGATATGGCAAGCATCATATTAACGAAAATAAGGAAACAGTCAACTTATTCCTGGGAAGAGCTAAATAGCTGGGTGGAAGAAACCTTGGTTAATGTCTGGAACTGCTGAGAATGGAGTGTCATTTCACTCAGCTCTTGTCAATTTTTTTTCTTTCTTCCCTTGAGTCAAATCAAGAGCCAAGTTTCTTTTAAAGCACAATGATCATTTGCTCCTGAAACTGACAATCCCACTTCAGTTTCTTGCTCAAATCCACTATCTAGGAAATCTGTGTCTGTTCAAACTGTTGCAACACTCAGCAAAATGGAGCAGTGGATGCTCCATCCCTGGAGGCATTCAAGGCCAGGCTGGACGTGGCTCTGGGCAGCCTGGTCTGGTGGTCGGCAACCTTGGATGTAGCAGGGGGTTGAAACGAAATCATCATTATGGGCCTTTTCAACCCAGGCCATTCTGTGATTATGATTTATGGAACCTCCTGGTAGCTCAGCAAAACAAACAAAAAGCACCCTAATGCTAATGGGAGAAGTTGTGTTGCATGTTTAAAGGAAAAAAGTAAGAGATAGCACAATGAAACATGAAGCTCCACTAATCACTTACCAGGAAATCAAAGGTTGAAACTTGAACGCTCCTATTACTGCACTGGACAGAGTGGCTTGATTTCACAGAAACAGAATTCAGGGCAGCATCTATAGGAAATCACCAGAAATAGAACTGCAGCATCCTGCCCCAAGGGCAGCAAAACCAAACTTTTACTCAATTCCAAAAAAAGCCAACAGTGCACTGGCACGAGTCACACAGAACATTTTCATAAGTACTCTATGAATTAAAACTTCATTATCCGATGTAACACAGGCCAGATCTGTAACAGTGCTAGGCACCACAACTGCAAGCAGGCTCACTAAGCCCTGGTGATATCAGTGTTATCCAAACCTGAAGACCTATCTGCACAGAGCTTAAGTCTCCTGATGTGCTCCATGAAAGAAAATGTTAAACTGTGTAAGAACTCAGTTCTGCTCTACCTCCAAAACCTGGATGTTCAGTAGAACACACGTGGGATTTTCTTGTCTGAAACAGACTTGGGTATAAAGGCTAATTTGAAAACAATTTTTAAAAAACCATGTCAGCACTCTCAGCCTAATAATTATTAAGAATACAATGCTTATCAGCAAAAAATGTCTGCTGGAAAGAACAAAGTAGGATGGTTGTAATTTTCTTTCCTCTTGTGTTTTAAGTTTATTCCTCTTTCTTTTAAAGACAACAAAATGCAAATAAATGAGTTTAGTTGATATTTTTTCTAAACATGAGTTCTTTGGTAAGTGAAAAACTATTAATTTTCATGTGACATCCTAAAAAATACAACTTTTTGGTTATCTGACTTGTTCAAATATAATGCATGCTTCATTAGAAAACAAACATGAACAACAACTCCTGTTTCAGACTGCGCTGTAATCAGGTTTTGGAACCTCCCTGTATCCACTGGTTTCTTATTTGACAGTTTTATAATTTATGATGCAGACAAAACCTGTCTTATTAGCAGCTTGAGCAGGTCCATTTTATTACATAGATGTCTGCAGACTGAACCACTTCAATAGCTAGGCTTTAAACCATCTTAAGCTGTATTTCAGCCCCAAAGTAATTTGGATAACAAATAGCATTAGCTAAGTCTCGAATGAAAAATCCCCTTTCATCTATTTGCGACAAAAGGAGAAGTTGATATTCCAGTGAAAGTCTGTGGTGCACGAGATGTTAGAAGTCAATTCAGAATTTATACCCTTTTTTGGATCATATCCAAATGCTGATGCACAGAGGTCTCAAATTAATCAGCTGACCAACACACTGAGTAAATTTGTCTCCCCTATGACTTGGAACAAAAAAGAAAACATGAAAAATTGAATTCTTACGGCACAAATACCCTGGGTGAAATCTGGAAGGTAATCAACATCGCCATGCTTACCAAAAGTGGAAAGACTTAAATTAATGAGTGCCACATGTTTATCTACCAAATTTCAATTTGCTAGTACTCCACCTTGATCATCACTTTCCAAGTCAAGTGGTTACAAGATGCAGTCAATAAATGCTTAATAATGATCAAATGTCTTTTTACATCAAAGCAAACAACCCGAACTTAATCCAGCATATGATTTCATAAACTTCATTCACAGAACAGGGAAATAGGTCTGCTAGGGACACTGCTGCTTGTAATAATGAACAATAGT